TCTAAAGTTTGATTTTCCTTTGTGAATAACACAAGTAATTTGATATGGTAATCAAGGACAGATTAATACTTCAGACAACACAATGCAGTTTTAATAGTAATGACATCTGTTTTTCATTTTTCCAGCCTCCTTGTATATGTTAAAATATAGCTCATTAAGTACTGCAGGATCTCAAAGTCTTTTTTCACAATGAACAGTTTAGCATTATGTTTTCTTTCTTCTGCCAGGTACCTGAACAAGAAACTGTTGCCTCCACCAGTGACAGTAGGCTTTTAGGCAATGTGCATGGTTTGAGTGCAACCGAGAGCAGATTTGCCCCTCGATGTGGATCTAGCAGTCTTTTTTGCATTACTTATACCATTCACTGTATTAACAAGACCAAGTAAAGTTTTGATCTCAAAGAAATTGGCTCTGAGACAAACATTGTTTGTACAGAACAATCTATGTGAGGATCTATGAAAGGTAAGATTTTGATAGCAGGCAAACCAAAGCAGGGGATTTGAAAGAAACTTGGCACCCAGAAGGTCAGTTCTTCCCCAGAGTTGTTTTTCCTCCCAACACTCACCCAAAGCTGGCATGGCCAAACTCACCCTGCCTGGCCAGGGCATGGGCATGCTTGAACTCCCATCCTTGCCTCTTGAGCCTTACCTGGTGCATCTTAGAGTCAGGCATACTTCCACTGGCTTCAGTGTGTTTTGTATCAGACCCCAGTTTTCCAAGGGGATTAAACCCCTAAGCATAAGTCCTTCCTATGTCCAGCATTCAAGCGGCATTTGAGCATTTATTCTCCCATGTGTCTTGGTAAAAATTTTCGGAGTTCTGACTGTCTGTATCATTTTATTTTCTTCTGCCCTGTCCCCCTGCCCCAAGCTGCCATTTCTCTGCCGTTGCGTGATCAGTGCATGCACCTCTATTAATTGCACTGAATTTCTCTTTCACAAGGAAAGTTTCTACTCTTCTTTTTCCCTCATCTTCTGAGATTTTCCCTTTTTCTACTACCAACCTGATAGTTGTTCAGAAGCTGCCAAGATGTATTTGGCTCTTGTATTGACTCCAGATGGAGTGTTTTATTTTCAGTCGTATCTGGCAGTAGGAACTGTGGTATCACCAAACACAACTTTTCTCTGAGATTAATTGTTTTGAAAGTAGAGAATAACAAAAGAATGGTTCCTTTTGTGTATGGTTTTTAAGTTATTTCTGATGGCAGATAACATAGTCTAGCCTGTATCCTAAAAGTTGAACCAGGCTCGCAATAGCCATCAATAGTTGGATTTTGCTGGTCTATAACCTATCAGTAATGATCATCTGGATATGTATCTTTTAGTATCCTAGGATTATTGCTTAAAAGTAAAGCAAGAAAATCTCTGGAATGAAATCTCTCATTATAAACTGAGCAGGGGTAAATGTACCAACTCTTATCTCCACCCTATCTGTCCTGGATGCATTAGATATGTTTGTAACCAGTTTTGGTTTCACAGAAACATTGAGAACCAGTCTGAAGGCTCTAAATAGGCAGACATGCTGTCACAGATTTCATTGCACATGACTGGGTCAAGCCAAACAGCTGCTCTGGTGTGTGTTAGAGGGGAAGGCAGTGTGCTACACTTCTTGCAACGTATGGGTATAGATCAGGAACCTAACACCACACCCAGCTCTGCCACTGGGCCAGCTTTCAGGGCCAGAGTATTCAAGGCCCTGAAATTAAAGCTGCACTACAAGGATCAATGCTCAGGGTATCAAATCTCTTCCAGGGCTGAGCCGTGCATCTCTTGACTTCTTATTTTTCCCCACCTGCAAAAATAGACTGCTCCTTTTCCTCCTTTCCATTTTACTTTAGAATATTCATTTGGAAACTTAGGGCAATAGGATAGCCTGTAAATGACCTCTGAGCTTAGACACTATTTTTCTGGTTGTTTTTCCTGCATCCTACATGTATTCATGTATGTCACTCCTTTGCTTCTATTAATTTCACTGGCATCCTTTCAGGCAATGGATTCAAGATGAAAAATATTCGCCTGACTTATTTTAGCTAAGAGGCTTCACTTTTAATGGATTTGCTGTTCTTTAATGTCCCAGGTCACTCCTTGAGATCAGAGAATGCCGAATTCCTTATCGTCCCTAAATGTTATCTAAAGTCATGTCGTTATTTTGCCTTTAGTGAGCCTCTTTGCTCTCTGGCTTTGGAACCTACTGCCAAATGAAGTAAAGAAAGCTCTGACTGTGGGGATTTCTAAATCCAAAGTTAAAAGTTATTTGTTCTATTTAGCATTTTTAAAATTATTCTTTCAGGAATTGTATGTGCCTCTAAGCTAATTAACTCTTAATGAGCGCAAAATGCCCTGGGATGCAGATTTGGAGGGTATGCTAGAAATGCAGGCATGGATTGGACTGCAGTACTGCAGGAGATGAAATTTATGATTTGATTCTTTTTTTAAATGATGGTGCCAAAAGTTTTGTTGAGATACTATTTTTTTTTTCTTTCTTTCTAGTCTAAATAAAGCTGATCAGATTTTCAGTCCACCATATGGGGCCCAGTTATATCAGTCCTGCAAATACACTTTAGTTTTCCGTTATGGATGAAGTCACTCTTCAGCAGGGAAAACAAGTTTAGAAACAAACTTTCGTATTATGAAAGACAGGCGGTATTCCAGCCCTGAGCTCTTAACCAGAGCATCAGGAAATCAGAACACCTGGCTGTGCCCAGCTCCATGGTATTCCCCTGGACCAGTCCCTCACCCTTTTAGTGCCTTCACTCATTCATCTGTAAAGCGACTATAATTGCATTTATATCACAAGGGTGCCTTGATGCTTGACAAATGAGAATTGACCCAAAATTCATCCTTCAGAAGCACTGTACGAGCAATATCTTGCTCACATGGTGGTTGTGGACAATTAGATTAGAAGAGGTATAAATGCAGTCGAAGTGAAATTCCATTTAAGAACTGTCGAACTGTCAAGCTGTTCTTGATAATTTTTCTTAGTTTTCATCTAATTCTAGTGTAGAATTTTGCATGCATCTCCCAGAAAGGGTTTATATGCCTCTCTCTTTCTTTTGTAACAAGCCAGCATATTTTATTCCATGGTGTATTAAACTGTCTTTTTGGGAAAAAATGGTTTGTTCTCAGAGCAATACCTTGGAAAGCTCCATTTAGCAAAACAAAGAAAAATTATTGTGTCAAAGAAATCCTATCCTCTATGTATTTGATCAAATTGCAGTCACTTACAAGGATTGTACATGGAAAAAATATTCCAGGTTTTATGAAAAGGGGGTTGCCCAATTGTTGTTATGTTTTATTTAATTAGATTTTTTTATATTTGCTATAATAAAGTTTAAAAATTAAGCTGACTTTCTGCAACAAACTGTAGAAACATATGGTGTACAGCCTGCAGAGGCTCTCAGTGGCAGTAGTATTACTGGTAATATTTGGGAATTAGAATCTGCTTTCCTCTGAAAAATAGCTGTGTTCTCCCGATTTAAAATATTGTGTTTTCACTAACATGTTTTCATCACCATTAACAGTTTTGGGAGAAAAAGAATGGATATGATCTTGTTAAATACATTTCCTTACTTCTGCACGGCTGTGGATCTTTCAGGGTGAGGGAGGCTAAATATCAGACTCAGCCTCTCTTCCATGTGTGCCATGAGCCCACTTAAAGAAACCAGGTGAATTCAAGGGAGCCGGTTTTACCAGGACCTGCTGCCAGGTAGCTTAGCCCAACACCAGGAGAAAAACTGGAATTGTTGCTTGGTTGAGCTTCTTTTCCTAACAAAGGCACAACCAGATTGCAGGATGCCAGGAGGCCTCCTGTCAGGACCCCAGAGTAAGCTCCAGCCCCCAGGAACTGCTTCTGGAAGGATTAGTAGGTACAGCTTGGTTTCCCACAAGAAATCATATGTCTCAAAAAAAAAAACCAAGCCCCTTTGGATCTTACTTTTTTATGTTCAGACTTGCAAAGCACTTTAAGAACAACTCATACTCACAAACAACATTCTTCTGACTTATCTATAATGTATGCTTGAAAGGGTCTGTGCCAAACTGCAGAGATTAAGTAAATTAAAAGATACTACATGGTGCAGCAGGGAAACGGTCCAAGTAGTGGTGTTCTGAGGAGCACCAGAGCTGGTTTAGGTTCACATTCATCCATACGCAGTCTGCAGAATTCACTTTTTAGACCTTTTACCCTGCTTGGCTTCAGTAACCGGCTTCCTAAGGCTCTCCCTGGTGACCGGACTCACTCAGACCTGAGGGTTCAGACCACACAGTCTCTAGAGCCCAGTCCATAGAAAAATTTGACCTTTCAACAAAGCTGCCATGCTCAGGAGGAGACCTCAGCACTACTGCACACCAGTGAACTTGTGCAAGCAACATCTTTGGTAGGATGTGCGACCAGATGTTCCCCTTCCCTTCCTCCCAGTGGCTGTCGAGGTGGAAGCAAGACATGGTGCTCTTCTGACAGCAGTAAGCATAGCCCAATTTCTGAGCTGATTGTTTTACCTCAGTAGCTGTGAGTCATTAAAAACTCACCTTGACTGCAGAAATAGATGGTCCTTAGCTATAACCCAGGCCTCAGCTCAGCGCTCAGGCTTCAGTGGGCTAATGGAAATTTTCAGTGGGCTCATGGAAATAAGTGGTTTGGTGGGACACATATCCACCTCTTCAGCTCACTACAACAAAATGCTTTAAGGACCAACAAATTTCCTATGAACTGATCCTGGACCAACGTCTAGGAGGCTGAAAAAAAGCCAACCTTGAAATCTTCTCCCTTTACCACTAATCCTAGTCAATACGGGTCTCTAGCTTTAATTCAGTTAATTTGGCCATTTCTGAGGGTGATGTGGGTAGTCGACAGAGAGATACTCCTTTTATCTTTGCTCAGGTAGGTGGTGTCTAATTCTAAAAGGGACCTCTCAGCAGAGACAGCAGGTGACTAATCTGCAGAAACGCCCAGGTGCCTCAATCAAAGAAAGTGAAAAAATTCTTTCTGACTGTGTCTTTCAGGATTTTGCGGACTCCGTATACCAAATGGTTGCACAGAAGTTCCAGGAGCTGACAGATAATTTCACTTCCATGCATGCACGCCACAAAACTCTTGCAGGCATTGTTATGACCAAAGGTAAGATATGCTCTCATTTATTTTCCTCTGGCATTTTTCAGGACTAAGTAATACATTATTTACCTGGTCCACAGTATTGAAGGATGCCTTTCCTCCCACACAGAAAAATAAATAGTAATGCAGAGAAAAGAAGCATTAAATATTTACACCTCAAGTGAGTTCACACAAAAAATACTGGCAATGGAGGTAAAGGTATATTCATAAATATGCCCCCACAATGCTTTGTTTATAGGACAAAATACAGACGTGCCTGATTTTGCATTTCCTAATAGATGGAGTAGATTTAGTTATCACTAAAAAGTTGTATTATTTATTAATTCTTTTTTAGATATGGAAACATTGAGTTCTTGTTGTACAAGGCTACCATAAACCTTGTTTTAGACTGACAATAAAATCAAATATCAGATCATTTCCTTTCCAATCAAAAGAAACAAAACCAAGAACATGCACAGTTTTAATTCTGCTCTGCTCTAACTGTGGGAAATACTTGCACTTACCAGCAGGGCCAAAATTTTATAGTGACCCCTGTTAAGATTTAACTGATGGACACATATACTATACAGAAATCTTTAGCCCTTTGATGAAACTGTTGCATAGGCGGTCTGTCTTTCTTTGTGAGCATACCTCAGCTGGGGTACCTCAATATTTATGAGGATATCAGCAGTGGAGATGCTGCCATAAACTTCATTCTCACTCAGATGCGTGGAGCAGTGGATTGAGTTTAGAAATGAGAGGATAAGCTCAGAGGGGAAAAGCATGTATAATTCATCCAAGCTTGTCTTACTCCTTCCTTTCAACAATTACATTAGCTAGATTCAATAGGGACATTTGTGAATATTGCAAGGCAGCAGGATGGAGACAGGATTATATGTTGGATCTTTTCCAACCACAGAACCTAAATACAGCTAAGAGTTCTGTGGAGAGTAACTTATTCTCCTTTCTGATGTGAAAAGAGTGAGCAATCTTCTCCTGAAATTAGAAGCAGAGAAATTGACCTAAAAGTCTTTTAGACCTCTGGTTCAAACTGAACTGTTCCTCAGCTAAATTTGTTATTATTTTGCTTAATATGTTTTGATTAGTTATTTTTTATATTACTTTAGGATCTGGAATAACAGATGAGTCTTCCATTTTTTAACTGCTGCACAGACACAGTGCTGTACAAACACAAAACATGGTAGACAAGTCCTATAGACCACAGGATACATATTCAGTACCAAGAAAAATAAAAGGGAGAATGTGATTGACTTTGGGATGTGAAAGACGCACACTAGACCCAACATACCAGCTGCCATGTCATAGTCAGATTTCTTGACTGTGGCATTCATCAGATTTAAACAAAGTGCTGTAATTTATTTAGAGGATCTCTTTCCAAGCAGGAGGACCACAAGGAAGAATGTTTAAGTATGCCTTTTATAAGAAGCTGGGTTATAGGAGCCAAGAATTGTTGCTCTAACCACTTTTTCAGGGAACACTGTACCCAGCTCAGTGTTCCTGTTCAGTTTTCAGTGTGTATTTTCCCTGTAAGAATTGTATCTCATTCCTACCTCACCAAGGTACAGCCCCTGCATCCTTTAGCACAGACCTAGACCTGCTTTAAAAAGTGTGATGGAGCCAATGCAGCCTCATTGCTATATGACCAAAGAAGCAGGCATATGAAGGACAGTTTAAAACCCCACACCATATGGGAAGAGAAGTCACCCAAAGGAATCATAACTTCCAAAACTGTGGCTACTGAGTGCATGCAGTGCTAGGGGAGGGAAGGGGCATGTCCAGACCCCTGCTAGCCTTGCTGGGCAGTTGGGGCTGTCTGCTTCTCTTCTTTGGGGAAGGGGTGAAAGTGTCCTCCCACTGGGTTTTTTTATGAGTCCTGTGCCCTTAGTGGGATTTTACACATTTGTATTTCATATTTCTTCTTAGTCAGCATTAAGACAAAGTATAATTTTACTTTATGTTCACAAACCATTTCCCTCAAGGCTTCTTTTTTAATTCTGAATTCCCTTTTATGAATTCCTTCAATCTGTCAGCCATCCAATTTGTCAATATTTTACTGGTTTTGTGGAGCCTAGAAAAGAAATTCACAGATATGAAGTGGTTCACAGAAGATGCAAAGCTAGAAATAGCCTTATCTTGGTACATTTTCCAGGAAGATTTTAGTTCCTTCCAGTACACAAATATCTGCCAACCATGGCAAGACGAATCATTTGGCATTTGTGTCATTATTTTCTGTACTAAAGTTGTATATTTATGGTCTGTTCCCCATCATCATTCCCAGAGGTAGCAAGGGTCTTGACACACCCTGTTCAAATATGGCACAGACAGGTTTTCCACATGAAACACTCAAATATGTACTAATTACCTGTGGTTTTAGCATAGAATTTCTCAGAAAAACACTTAGATCTCTGCAAGCAATTTACTAATGACATCAGCAAAAACAAATCTGATAATGTCCTGTTGCATTTAGTACCATACACAACTATAACAGACAAAAATTAATTTGTTTTTACCTTCATTTCAATTTAATGTCATCCCGGCTAGAAACAGGTTTATCTGTGCTTGTACAGTTTTCAGACAAAGCTGGTAAAAAGCAAAATGTGATTCTGTGATAACTGCTGTTAAGATAATACAAAATCTCTACAGACGAAACAGAAGTGTGCTAGATTGGTTTTCTTTTCCTGAACTCTGACATTTTTTCTGCCATTTCAGTTTCCCCGGGAAACCAGAGACTTACATTTGGGCACTGTAATTGACTTATGCTGTAGCACTCAGGGCAAATTCCAAAGTAGGAGAAAGAAAAAAATTTAGAAAATCATGTTATTGACTGACTGTGAATGTTCCACAGTAATAAATTGCTAGTCAGAAAAACAGTCAGAATAATGTATTTAGATATGAATTGTGATGAAAAGTTAAAATGTCGATGCATTTTTATGAAAGTAAGTTTTCAAAACATTTGATTAATAGACATCAAGATAACCTAGGTAGGAGCAAATTATCACACTGGATACCAGCTGATGTGATGTTATCTGATATAATATAATAATTGAATACAATAATAATTCAAACACTAACATAACAGATCCTGAACTAAATGTTTCAAAAGATGGAAAGGTTGAAGTAAATTATTTAATAGTTCTCCAGTTATAATGTATTTGAAATCCGCCAGTCCTCTAACACATTCTAATTTTGTTGAAACACATTCAGAGAAGATTGTTCTATCAAAAATTGTTTGATTGACTCTAGAAAAAATTATTCAACAAGTAAGACATTGCATTCAAATCTTCCATGTAAAGCAAGCCGCATTCCTACAGAATATCTTCGAGTAGTACAATAAGTATACCTGCTATTGTAGCATAGTATTAATATGGGGACCTAAGTTTTATTGCTTACTGACTATCCACAGTAGTTGTCCTGACTTCTCTGAAGATATGATGGGTTCTCATGTGGTAAATTAAGAACTTTAGTTCACCTGTGGAAAAGGCAGTCTGGATAACATCATGTCAAACATAAACCATCACCTCAGAACATGCATATCCAGGCATGTGATGGATGGAGTCAACTTTCCTCGTAGTGTTTTGCGTTTATAGCTAAAACACGGTTGATGATTGATAACACCAATGTTTTGGCTATCGCTGGACAGTGCTTGCAAATAGTCAAGAGTTTCTCTTTCCTTCCCATCCCCATCCCCAGCAAGTAGGCAGAGGGTGGGCAAGAGGCTGAGAGGGGACATAACCAGGACCGCTGTCCCCAGCTGATGAAGAGGATATTCCATACCATATGACATTGTGCTCAGCAGTAAAAGCTCGGGGAAAGAAGGGGGAGATGTTTGGGTTTATGGCATTTGTCTTGCCAAGCAAGCATGAACTATCATTTTCTCAATCTGTGAATCTTCTTGCCTTCCTTCTATTTTCTCCCAGTCCCACAGGAGAGGGGAGTGAGCAAGAGACTGGGTGGGTGTTTGGCTGTTGGCCAGGATCAACCAATATTTCATTTCAGGGTGTGCAACAACAATAACTGGACATAATGTTTCTTGCTGTCACACATTAAGGTAACCTACCAGCTCCCCCCCCCCTTCGTGTGACTCTGTCTCTCAGGTGCAATTGGGACATCTTATTTTCACCCACTGGTCTGCCATACTTTTTTATTGAGAAGTTTGCAGGGGAAATAATTTATTTTATTATTATTATTGCTACTACTACTACTGCTACTAGGCCAGTTGATACAGTTGGAAAAAAACAAGAGCAAACAAGCTAGTATTTTCTAACACAGGTCAACAAAAGTGAAACCAGAGCACTGCCACATATCTCCATCCCTGACGTACAAAGTCACGGATTATTGGATAACAGGAGGCCGAGGAGCCGCTGGCGTGAAGCAGCTCTTGCAGGGCTCGGCAAAGAGCATGGTCCCACCATGGGTCACCAGGCAGGGCAGACAGCTTTACCAGCACACAGGTCATCAAGGAGAAGAGCATGGACTGTGCTGCCCGTCCCCAGGAGCTGGGAGATAGGAGGCCCCAGCCCAGGGCAGTGCAGGAGGGGAGGTGGAGGTGTGAGCTGCACACCAAGTGCTGCGATCTAAAGGCAGGCAGCATTTGCACTGTTTATTTACACTACGGACAGAGTTTGCCTTTGCCAGCCCTGAACAGATGCAGGTATAAATTTGTGCTCTATTTGAAATCACTGGACACAGTAAAAAATTCCTGTCACTCAGTGCAGAGATGATATATTATTGCTGAGGTCCTTTTTGCAAAAAAACCTCCCATAATCATTACGGATAAAATGAGAACGCTATTTAAACACTATTTTCCCATCTGTGTTTGACAAATCTTTGCAGTTTAAATACTGATAGGAACTTTTTGTCATGCTTTCTGTTAAAAATGAAGCATTAAGAAAGTTCAGTCCTTTTCACAGGAGCGTGGCATTCATAGAAAAAGGTTATGAGTTGATTTCTCACTTCAATTTTCTTTCTTCTTCTATCTTTTTTTTTTAGGCTGACAATCATTTTGA